CTTAAGTAGTTGCACTGCCCTCAAACCCTCTGTACTCAAGAAACAGGGTGGGAAACCATCATCATCGTTCGTCTTCTTCCAGTTGAGATCATCCTTGCTTCAAAGGCATGTCAGTATATAAATATTTACAACCAGCTGTTGGAAGGCAGGAGATCCTGTTATGAGCTCTGAAAACACGGGACATATGTTCTCCCCCACTGATCACTGTGCCTGCGTCTTTCTTGTCAGTTGCAAAGGGGTGTGTGTGTGTGAGATCTTGTACTTCCCATCTTGCAAGATGCACAGTGCCCTGGCTGGTGTCTTTGAGTTCTCATTTTGCAGTCTGGGTTCTTATCAAGCTGGAATCTAGACCCGTGTTTCAGGGAAGGGATTGACACTCCCATAAAATGAATGTCATCTCTGCCACTCTGCCCTGAGATTAAAGGCTTTACATTTTTATTTATTTGAAAAGCAGAGAGACAGGGGAGATCTTCATCCGCTGTTTCTCTCCTTGAATACTTACATCAGTGGGGGGTATGCCAGCCCTAAGTCAGGAGCCCAGAACTCAATCCAGGTCTCCCATGTGGCTCGTGGGAGGCTGCATTGAGAACCCCTAGTCCCTTAGGAAGAGGTGACAGGGACAGCGTGGACTCATACCTACTCAGAGTCAAGTTCTAGTTCAGGCAGTTATAAGAATCCAGTGTTTCTGTGACTCAGATGTGCCTCCTGGGCCAGAGGGAGTCAGTGCGGAAGTCCTGTGTCAGAGGACTTTATGTTGGCTCAGTAACTGTGTAAACGTCAATGAGACAGTGACAAGCATGAAACCGAAGCCTTATGTCTCCTAGAACAGGAAGGGCACACGGTGATGCCTTCACCATGTTATCCGAGGCCCAGCCACGTGTGCGGAAGAGATGGCTGCTCCTGGATACCTGTGGGTTCCGGGCCCTTGCACTCAGCCTTGAAAAATGCCTGTGAGGGGACCAGTGCTGTGGCATAGCCAGTTAAGCCACCACCCGCAGTGCCTGCATCCCATATAGGCACTGGTTCATGTCCCAACTGTTCAATTCCAACCTAGCTCCCTGCTATGGCCTGGGAAAGCAGCAGAAGATGGCCCAAGTCCTTGGGCCCCTGCTCCCACATGGGAGACCCTGAAGAGGCTCCTGGCTTTGGCCTGGCCCAGCCCTTGCCATTGCGACCATTTGAGGAATGAACCCGTGGGTGGAAGATTCTCATTCTCTCCCCCTCTCCCCCTCTCCCCCTTTCCCTCTCTTACTCTCTCCCCCTCCCTCCCACTCTCTCCCTCCCTCCCTCCCTCTGTATGTGGGTGCTGTCTACCTTTCAAACAGATAAAATGTATCTTTAAAAACTTCCCATGGATCCCTCCTCCTTTCCAAAGAAGCAGAGGCTTTAACGTTCTGAAGGGCTGAGGAGCAGGGGTCTGGTTCTCACTGTGCAGGAGAGAATGCATTGTACCTGCTCTCCAAAGATTAAGCCAAAGCCTGTGTGGCCAACTTAGAGTTCCTGGGGCAGGAGAGGTCAGGTGGAGGCTGCGGAGCTTCCAGGGTCATGACCGTGGAGGGCTAGACAGCCTCCTGCCTTCCCCATCCCCTGAGGGTGCTCAAAGGGACTTGAGCCGAGGACTCATTTGTCTTGAAGTCTCCAAGTTGTTTTTGGTGGGGACACACGCGAATCCCTGCTCACCACCCGCTCTCTGTCCATTTACTTTTAGTTTGTTTTTTTCTTTTTTTTAAGATTTGTTTATTTATTTGAAAGTCAGAGTTACATAGAGAAAGAAGGAGAGACACACAGAGAGAGAGAGAGAGAGAGAGAGAGAGAGGTTTTCCATCCGCTGGTTCACTCCCCAGTTGGCCGCAACAGCTGGAGCTGCGCTGATCTGAAGCCAGGAGCCAGGAGCTTCTTCCAGGTCTCCCATGTGGGTGCAGGGGCCCAAGCACTTGAGCCATCTTCCACTGCTATCCCAGGCCATAGTAGAGAGCTGGATCAGAAGTAGAGCAACCGGGACTCAAATTGGAGCCCATATAGGATGCTGGCACTGCAGGTGATGGCTTGACCCACTACGCCACAGCACCAGCCCCTTGTTTTTTTCTTTTCATGAGAGGTGCTGATCTGACAACCTGTGGCTGCTTCTCTCTGATTTGGGTCTTGGAGACCTTTACCCACAGCCCCGCAAAGCCCCAGGGCAGTTCTGTCTGCTGCCCACATTTAGTGTGATGCGGTGGACTGACTCGCTGTTGGAACGAAGTCCTTTGTTCCTTCTGTAAGAACTCGGAATGGGACCTACACCGGGAAGCGGCAGCGGTCTAGCCTGTCTCTCCCGCTCAGAGAGCAAAGACAGAGCGAAGTGGATGAGGGTGGGAATTGAGAAGCTGCTGCATTTGCTAGGATGATGGCCAAACGGGGCCACTTTGGAAGGCCATGTAAATCACTTACTGCCCTCCTACCTTAGCAAGCCTTCTAGGACCGGGCTGGACAACACAGTGTCTCACATACCCATCCTCTGTGCAGAATACTGACTATACGGTAGCACTGGGCTGCCGCCTGAGGACTGATCATTATTCAGAAAGTTTCAGTGCACAAGCCGCTCACGTGTGCATTTCCTTGCTTTTGCTTTGTCTTTATTCTCGGGTTACATCTGACTTAATATTCTCTTTTCCTTGTTTACTTGGGTTCTGGGTAAGTTACCCTTTGGTACAGTCCTGTGTTCATGACTGAGGTCCCTTTTAAGAAGATATCTGGAAAAGCGGCAGGTTATTCTTTATTATGAACGCCAGCTCTGATTGTCTTGAATCTACGAGTGGGGGCCCTGAACTTTTTGGTGAACACCGTCTCCTAAGTGTCGGTCTTAACGCAGCACGATCACACTCTGCGTGGTTGCCTCGCAGTCTGTTGAGTGGAAACACAACACTTTGCCGGTCTGTGCCTCGTGCTGACCACTCTGAGGTTTTCCTGTAATTATAAGTAACTTTTGAGCAGAGCATCACCTACATTCACCCCTGTTTGATATTTTATTAAAGGTGACTTTTGGAGATCTCTTGCAAAGATGACACAATGTGTGTGGGGTCAGGGCTTCTCTGACTGCTAAGTGCACAGGTGACTTGTGGATGGCATGAAATGCAGGTTCTGAGCCGTAGGTCTGGGGTGGACCTGGGGCCTGCCTCTGTAACCCCTCCCACGGGAGGCCTGAGTTGTCAGCGTGTTGGTGTTGGAGTTTTTGTATGACCCATTTACTAAGTCATGCTGTGGGTCACCCCCTGGAGTGTCTTCTGATAGAATAAAAAAGGGAGAGAATGATCCAACATGGGACGCGGGATACACAGCAGACTCATAGAATGGCAGATGTCCTAAACAGCACTCTTGCCTCAGAATCAGCCCTTAAGGCATTCGGATCTGGCTGAAGAGCCCATGAGAGTATTTTAGGCATGGAAAGCCAAGACACTCTGGCAAAAAAAAAAAAAAAAAAAAAAAAAAACACCTAAATGAAAGATCTCTGTGAGTGAGATCCCAGTAGAAAGAACGGGCCGTCAAAGAAGGAGGTACCCTTCTCTGAAGGGAGGAGAGAACTTCCACTTTGACTATGACCCTGTCGGAGTAAGATAGAAGTTGGCAAACTCAAAAGGCTTCCATAGCCTTGGCAACTCATGACTAGAGCCTAGGGAGATTACTGACTCCATAAACAAGAATGTCAAATTGTTAAGTCAGCAACTTAACAAGTCAGCACTTACTCCTCATGTGGGATCTCTGTCCTTAATGTGTTGTCCAATGTGAATTAATGCTTTAACTAGTACTGAAACAGTATTTTACACTTTATGTTCTATGGGGGTGCAAACTGATGAAATCTTTACTTAATATATACTGAATCGATCTTCTGTATATAAAGATAATTGAAAATGAATCTTGATGTGAATGGAATGGGAGAGGGAGTGGGAGATGGGAGGGGTGCCGGTGGGAGGGAAGTTATGGGGGGGGAAGCCAATGTAATCCATAAACTGTACTTTGGAAATTTATATTTACTAAATAAAAGTTTTTTAAAAAGTGACATTTGGGTGGGGCAGGTGTCAGAGAAGGTGAGGAGCTGTAGCGCCTGCCTTCAACAGAGATCACACTGACCACTGCCAGGATCACCTGGGGAGCTCAGAGGCATGCGTGTGCAGGTGCACACACACATGCACACAGACCAGGGCCCACCTCCGGCCACTGCACACAGAATGCCTGGCAACGGGACCTGCCTGCCTGGACGCTGCAGGTAGCTCCCTGTATAGCCCGGCTTCAGGCCCATGGCTCTGAGCCCACAGAGCCCCACCTTAAACCCCACTGCGTTCCTAATGTGTTTTAAGCCTGTTTGGTTGAGAAGCTCAGGGCTTCTTGTATGCTACACTCAGCCCTACACTTTGACAGTATATTTAACACAGTCTGAGCTGTCCTGGTGTTTCTGGAAAGCCATCAGCGTTATTTCTAACAGAAAACAAGGCATTTGGCATCACTGGCTTCTCCATCAAACCCACTGTTCCAGAGCACTTCCTGGTTCCGTCTTAGAGAAACCACCATTGTATACCGTCTCCCAGGCCCGCAATCTGGGCTCACCCTCCTAGTCTAAGCAGTTCTCACAATCTTCTGTTCTTCTAGAATGTAACACTCTATATGAAAACTGTTAGCATGGCCGTATCCTTCAATCAGACTGCAGCCTCTTGACAAAATATGAAATGCATTGTTGTATTCCCCACGCCTAGCACAGCACCTGTCTACACAGGGTGTATCCGTTAGTCAGGACTGAATGGATGAGGTACTGTAGACTTTGCTCGTGGGCAAGCCTGGAAGGTCACTCTCACGACCGAGAGCTTCTGCCAGCATGGTTCCCGCGGTAGCACAGATTGCCTAGACGGTGCCTGCTGTCACATGGCCTTGCCCTGGGGGTGTGCAAGATGGCGGACAGCGTGCCCAGCACGCCCTGAATCTGCCACTTACCACCTGCTGCCGTAACTCGTGCCGTTTCTCTTTGGCAGTTGCCTTCTCGGGCCTCGGCTTCACGACATTCTACTTGGCCGGCAAACTGCACTGCTTCACAGAGAGCGGGCGGGGGAAGAGCTGGCGGCTCTGTGCGGCCATCCTGCCCTTGTACTGCGCCATGATGATCGCCCTGTCCCGCATGTGCGACTACAAGCATCACTGGCAAGGTGAGTCCCCGCCCGGGCTCCAGGGACCGGGGTCGAAATGCTCCACAGGGGGAGGACCAAGTGTCCATGAGCAGAAACTCAAGTAGGCGTAGACGGCGAAGTCGGTGCACTTTGGAAGCCCGGTGAGCTGTGGCCTCCACGCTGCCCTTGCTGGGGAAGTGGGAGCTCCTCTGCTCCCCTTCCTTCGTGTTCAAGGACATCAGGTCCTCCTGACTCACCCTTGGCCTCAGCCCCAAATGTGATTTCCCTGCTGGATTGCTTGCCTCGTCCTGGGGCTTGGTGCCAAGTGCTTTTTGGCTCCTTCCCATATCAAACCCAGCCTGCAAGAACAAATTTCCCATCATGGACGCTCTCCCAACGTGTGTGCTCAGCCCAGGCGTGGAGTTCAGCAATGTTCCTCACCCCCGGGACGTTCATCCAAATCAAAACAGCACAAAACCAGGGAGGGGCTGGTTCCTGGGACAGAACTGACCCTGGCCCCCTGCGGATGAACTGCAGCTTACAGTCTGCCAGCAAGACAGCTGGGAGAGAGACGGAGAGGTGACAGTAACAGCAGCCTAGAGCAGTCCTCAGATCACCCTGACCAGGTTGCCCCAAGCTAGAAATTGTACCTGAGGGTGGGGAATGTTGGGGGGGGCGGGTGGGGAGTGTCAGAAACCTTCCTGATTGACAGGCAGACCCACCTGTCATTTCTGATGAAGTCTGAGAAGCCCTGGCAAAGCCTTCTATCTTGCAGGTTGACTTTAAGCAAACGAAGCAAATTCAGTGAGTTGACACTTAGCTTCTGCGTCAGCTTTTCACCAGCAGGCTGCCACCCAGCCTCTTCCTCTTGCGCTGTTGTCAAAGGACAACACCAGGCACTGTGCCCATCTCCGCTCCTTCCTGTCTCTGTATTGCGGGACTCCCTTCCTCTCACTCTTTTTTTTTTTTTTTATTGAAAGGCAGAGTTAGACAGAAAGAGAGACAGAGAGAGAGTTATAGACAGAGAGAGACAGAGAGAAAGGTCTTCCTTCCATTGGTTCACTCCCTTAATGGCCGCCACGGCTGGTGCTGTGCGCCAATCCAAAGCCAGGTGCTTCCTCCTGGTCTCCCATGCGGGTGCAGGGCCCCAAGGACCTGGGCCATCCTCCACTGCCTTCCCAGGCCACAGCAGAGCGGGACTGGAAGAGGAGCAACCGGGACTAGTACCCGGCACCCCAACTGGGACTAGAACCCAGGGTGCCGGCGCTGCAGGCAGAGGATTAGCCAAGTGAGCCATGGTGCCGGCATCCTCTCACACTTTCAGGGTTTTGTTCTGGTGGCACTCAGGAAGCAGGCAGGGCCAGACGTGAGGGCAACTCCAAAACAGGGCTCCGTCTCCCTGTTTTCTCTGGGGGCCGTGGGCTCCTCCCAGCACTGCCCCGGCTTCTCTCACTCCTTCCCGGCCTCAGCTCCACCCTCTACCCTCTTGGAGGTTGTGCCCCGGGTGTTGTGTGCCACCAGCAGCATTGAGCTGGAGGGTGCAGGGTGGGGGAGAGATGCTCAGACAGGGGTGGGACAGGTGGCTGCATCACAGGTCAGGTAGTGACCAGGCCTCCTGAGGGGGGGCAGGAGAGAGCCGCAGGGCGGGGCCTGGGCCCTCCTTTGTCGTCAGTTTTCATGGCTGACTTGATGAAGCTCTGGATGATATGAAACCACACCATGGGAGGCGGGAGAGGGGGACTCTGTGTCGGCAGCACAAGGGCACCCTTAGACCTGGGAATGTTTTCCCATAGAATCACGGGTGCCAGTGTGGGCAGGGCGCTCCCTACAAAGGGTCTTACAGGCCAGTGGTCATTTGTGGTTAGCTTTGCCCCCATGGAGCACAGGAGCAGTGACCCCCAAACATTTCAGAGCTGTTCCATGGATTCATGCAGTCCTGGGTCCTCGTGGACTCGGAACTAGAAAGGCAGCTGTGCCCGCCACCGTGCACCGGTGCCGCCACCTGCTCCGTACGGGACACCTCTCTACACAGGTGCACACTGGGGTCCTGGATGCCTAGGGCACTGCTTCTAAGGAACCATGCGCTGTGTTCCCCCAACACCTGACTCGGTGGCAGCCAGGTTCTTGGGACATAGTCTGTTGGTTCGCTGTGAGTGTCCAGTTACCACTTGTATTCAACCACCCTGGCTATGGAGGACGATCGAGGGTTTCAGAATCGCACCGGTTTTTCCTTTATCTTGGGAATCGCTAAGAGCCGTCTTGTGGCGATCATGGGCCGAGAGCCGGGGATGGGAGAGTGACCTCTCTGAAGCCCTCGCTGGCCCTAGCCTGTGCTCCTCCTCGTCGTCTCCCTGGCCGAGGGGAAGATTACGGCAGTGCAGCTCTCGGCTGCAGGGACGGCGGGTTCACGAGGCAGCGGGGGCTGAGGCCTGCTGGCAGCCGGACCTCACGGCCATCCCTGCTGGTGGGCCCACAGAGAACTCTGAGCAGCAGAGAATAGCGAGTGCCCGTGGGAGAGGCAAAGCAAGAGACTTTGTCACCAGCCATGTCCAGGGTCGTAGATGGGGTGCAGACCGAAACCAGGTCAAGTTAGGCTTCTGCGGCTGGAGCTGAACTTGCGGCAGCCAGTACACAGGCTCTGAGTGAGGCTCATGGTACCCGAGTTCCCCTTTTTGTGACAGTCATTGTCTACACTGCTTCCTCTCAACTTGGGGTGGGTGGGGTGATTGTATCTCCCAGGGGACATTTGGTGTTTTCGGTTGCCACGCGTTGGGAGGGAGGTGTTCCTGGCATCAGGTGGACAGAGGGCTAGAGGCTGCAGGCGCTGTTCAACCTCCCGCACTGCACAGGACAGCTCCTCACCCACCCCCGTCCTGTAGCCCCAGATGTCAGCACTGCCAAGCTGGAGAGACCCTGAGCTACGGCCGGGTTTTGGCTCCATCTTTCTTTCCCTTCTGACATGTCAAGAAGCAGCCATGTTTCAGGAGTGGGAAAATTTAGCCACGGAACACTCGGTTATTTTTTTAAAGATTTTATTTATTTATTTGAGATGCAGTTACAGAGAGAGGGAGAGACAGAGAGAAAGGTTTTCCATCCACTGGTTCACTCCCTAAATGCCCACAGCAGCCAGAGCTGGGCTGATCTGAAGCCAGGAGCCAGGAGCTTCTCTGGGTCTCCCACGCGGGTACAGGGGCCAAGCACTTGGGCCATCCTCCACTGCCTTCCCAGACCATTAACAGCAGAATTGGAAGTGGAGCAGCCAGGACACGAACCTGCACCCATATGGGATGGCAGCCTGGCAGGCAGAGGCTTAGCCCACTACACCACAGCCCTGGCCCCTGAATACCCAGTTATTAAGAGAGGAACCCAGGAAGCCTCGCAAGACCCCCTGCTTGGAGAAGGGGTGGACAGTGAGGCTTTGGGCGGCTGGGTGGGTGCGTGTTTGAGGCAGAGGCCTGATGGAGGTGAACTACTCGTTTTCCTTTGGTGGGTGGAGCCGCCCGTGACCATGGCCAAGGACCATCCCTCATGACGAGGGTTCCCGCAGAGCCCAGGAGCTTGAGCAGAACCCAGGTCCCTCTCATAATGGACCTCAGTTAGCAGCATTGATGCCGTGAGATTTTATGACTCCATTTCACTTTTGATTTGAGCAACTGTGCCTAGTGTGGAAGTGCATCCAGTTGCTCCATTACAGTTTCCTACCCAATAAATAGCCCGTCCGCCCCAGCAGCTTGCCACATCCATGGTCATGGTTGCTTCCTGTCATTTATTCCCGTCTCTCTGTTCTGCCTCTCCAACCTGCTCCACATCCACAAGTCTGTAGTTTCCATTAAATGAGGAAAATACACGGCCTGGACCACGGGAGAAGCGGGGACATAGCCCTGGCTCAGTCAGTCAACCCTGGATCTCTGTGTGGCTGACGTCCCCCGAGTCTGTGACACACTGGCCTCCGGCTCAGCGGGAAGCTAGGAGTCACAGGTGAGGAGCCTCATAGCAAAGCTCACCTGTAGGACTGAGTAAGAGTGTTTTCTAGTGCGAACGCTCCGCACAGTTCCCATTCTAGAGAAGGTAAATGCACAGAACGCGCAGAGCCTGCCATGAAGCCCGCTGTGCCTCTGCTCACACTGGTGTGCCTGTGGTTTCTGGCCAGCAGAGTCTTGCAGCTGGGAGCGGCAGGCATGTGTGGTTTGCACCGTCACTGGGCACGGGCCCAGTGTGTGGCTCCAGGCTCGCCGCATGTCACTCCAGGTTTGGGGATGGCCTTTAGCCCACTGACTGCTCTAATCATGTGTCCTGTAAGCAGCCCCGAGCACCTACTCCTTTCCAACAAACGGACGTGCTGCACACTGATGGTCGTCTGCCCCGTCCGCCAGACCGAGTCAGCAAACTTTGGGAAGGGTCGGGGGTAAGTGGCCCTGTCTGTGAGTGGCCGCCCGGTCTCTGTGGCAGCTGCTCTGGTTGTAATGCGTGCGTGCAGCTCCTGACCCCTGCCCTGGAATTTGGGGGATCTGTGCCCTTCTGTTGCCATGGCGCGGAGCAGGTGCTTCTGCGAGGCTCCGAGGGCTGCCACAGCGAAGGGCCAGAATCAGAAATGTTTCATCGCGCAGTCCCGGGACTGCATGACAGCCAGGTATGCGCAGGGACCCTCCCTTCCCCGCCTCTCCCAGCCGCTCATAGCCGTGGCTGTGGCTTGGCTGTGGCAGTGTGTGCCCACCCTCCGCCTCCACCCTCCCTGGATTTCCCCCGTCCTCTCCCCTCTGTGTCCACGCTGCCTCTTTGTAGAAGGACACTGGTCACAGTGGATGAGGGCCCGCTCAGGTCACCGCCTTCAAAGACCCTGATTCCAAAGAAGGTGGCAACCTGAGGAACTAGGGGTTAGGACTTCCGAGTGACTGTGGGAAGAACACCACTCCTTAAGATTTATTTTATTTATTTGAAAGACAGAGTTACAGAGAGAGGTAGAGCCAGAGAGAGGGAGGTCTTCCATTCTGTTAGTCCACTCCCCAAATGACCGCAACAGCCAGAGCTGAGCTGATCCG